AGTGCGTTTCATTGGCAGCGAAGAAGACTTGAGGCGCTTTGGTCAGCAGCAGTTGCCTCCGCCCCCGACCCCTCACGTAACCTAATGCGCGGCTGAACCGAACCGGGCATTATCCAACCCAGCTGTAAACACGGCGGGGGAGGGGGGGGGGGTACGAGAGCCCCAGCGGCCGCGGCGGCGTGCTATACGGCAGCTGAATTTTTAACAGTGTGACAAGTGTGGAATTTTGTAGGATGATACCTTAAAACACCGACAAGTTGCACAAATAACATTAAAGGTGTCAGCTGCAGCTTTAACTCTCGATAAGGAAACATAACCGAGCAAAGGAAAATATATTAGCATCATCTGCTTCATATCCGCCGACCTTGGACGAATTTCATTTTTTCCAGAAAATAATTCATAATCAACTACGAAAGAAACAGAAAACCAAGCGTTCACTTTGATTTTTTTTCTTTTTAAGGAGAAGAAATAAGGAGAGTTTTGTTTTGTGTGTAAAAGTTTCATGATTAAAATGCTACACAGGACTACCAATGACAACTTGCAAATCCTGCTCACCCTCGAGCTGGGGGACCGCGGTGCGGACGCGACACTATGCACTGGGGGCGCCTTTTTGCAATAAGCACTGAACTCAAAAGACAGATTTTGGCGACACGCCGGGTGCTCATCTGCCCTTGCTCGATCCGCGCGATCAACGAGTGGATGAGAGTGATGGGAGAGGAGGGGGCAGAGTCGAGAGTGCGACGGGGATCGCAGAGTCTCGTCTGCTTGGGTTCGCACCAACATTTCGCGCGCGTGTGCGAAGGAGAGGAGTGAAGTGAAGACGAGCTTTCCTTTCTCCATCCGCGCTGCAATCGGCAGGCTGTCCGCAAAGCCTCGCCGTGCCCGCCTGCGCCCGAGCCCGTGGTGCCCCCTGGCGCTCCCTCAGGGAAACCTACCCTGCACCGTGCGCACGCACAATACCTGATTTTTGATTGTGCTATGTCTCACTAAAGGCTGCGGAAGACGTCCGTTGAAATGAAAACAAACGACTTTTTATTTTCTAGGATAACGATCACGTTTAATAACGGTCTCAAACGGAAAGGACCACGCTTACACTTTAACGGACTTTCTCGAGTGGGTGAGATGTGTGTGTGGGGGACTGGTCCTCGCTGGTGCCCGCTGGTCCCCCCGAACACACGGAGCGGGTCCTGATTGGGAGCTGGCTGGCCCCGGCACGGCCCGCACGGCCCCCGGGTCAAAGACGAACAAAGCACCTCAGCGATGGCCCGGCCGTGCCGGCTGCGCCCGGCCACTACTAGCCCGGCCCCCTTTCCAAAACGATTCGGCCCGCGCCTGCCTGTAATTCCTCACTTCCCCTCCATCATCCTGCCCAGAGATGGGAATTATTGGCTTCGCACACAACGAAAAGCACGCACACCCATCGAAAGTTGCTGGGAGAGCTTTTTGCACAATGTAAATTTTCCCTGCTCCGCGAAAATGGCAAACTGCGCCCCTTTACGCTCGTCGGCAGGACGTAGGCCACGCCGCACAACAGGTCTGTGTGGCGGGACTGCCTGCCGCACGGCGCTCGCGCAGGCTGAACATAGGCC